AAATCTTTTCAACAATTACTTTTTTATTTATAGGTGAACAACGACGAGTTTCTACCGATTTTCTACGTTATCTTCGGACAGAGGAGAGCTTTTCTTCGACGCCTAGACGCTTTGCGAGCTTGTCAATCAAATTCGCGTCGTTTCCACGTTAGAAATCGCGGGTTCGATTTGGGACGGACTTTCGACATCGCGCCCCGCAACCAGCAAAAGGCCCGTAGTTGAGGTACAACGAAGACTTCTGCCTACCTACGAAGCGGACTTTGTACCATCACCGCCGAATTTTTCGCGAGTTGGGATATTATCTGGTCAGTTCCTGGTGGTACTACTGACTCACACTGCGATCGTCGCCTATTCCGAACTAAATTGTCGGTGGAGTGATTATACATGATGGTGTTCTTATGGTGTATGTCTTATAATTTAAAATAAATTTGAAGTAATTGAAAATTTCTGGTGTTTATTTCATAAGCTTGCTGTGCTACTGGATGTAATTAAAAGAAAAGTTGTTCCATAATTTAAAAGTGCGAAAGTGAAAAAGATGAGGAAAAAATTTTAGTATCTTATAGACAAAACTTGGTAAGTAAGAAGTACTTAAACTCTGTGTGCACTCTAGTTGAATAAATTGCGTGAATTCTCGAATTTAATGTTTTTCTGGAATTATCATAATAAGTGTGCTCGATAGAAAATAAACTTCTTTGATAAATAAAGGCCGTTGTTTAGATAAAAAGTAAAATGCCTAATTTTATACTAAAAATTGCTCAAAATTAATTTTATTTACATTAACCTTACTAGATTTTTCTAAAATCTCTTTTATGCGGTTTATAACATCTATTTATTTAATTTTTCTGCTAATTTGTTCTTCTTATGAGAACGGTTTATTAAAATCATGCAAAATTATTTTCAATTTTCCGGCGCGATCGTTCGAAATAAGTTCGGCCGAAAAGGGTTGAAAATAGTCGCGCGACGCACGAGCTTACGCTGAGCTGAATTGGCTAAGTTGCCACGGCGGTTCGACAAGATGGCCGCGATAATTGTCGCTATGAAATTAACACTGAATTCATTTTGTTATTAGCCGTTATTTCGTAATAGTTAAATCTACGTTAATTCTACCGTAATTTCTAGGGTGAAATGCTTTGGATTTTTCTTATTTTTTTTTGTTAATTCATTATTACAACTTCCCTTTTTTGCAATTCAGCGAATGATCCTACCGACTGCGCCATTTTGTCGTGCCCAAATAGTTTTGACCGCGGCCGAGCTTTTGGACACTAACAAAATTATTTATTTGGGTGTAGGCCCATTTCCTTGGAAATGGAAGAGCTAAACTGCATGTAGGGGAAGAGGTAATAATTAAACATATATAACATTTTTATACGTATATTAAAAGAAAGCATAATAAGCATGTCAAAAGAATAATCGAGTAAATGTGTAAATAATCAACAGAAAAATAAAACATAAAATAAATTCACACACATAACACGAAAAAACAAAACAACATGCAAAACTATCTTCTAAAGCGCTACGCAGTTATATTCCACTAATAAAACTCTTAAAATCTATGAACATAACCCACATTTTTAATTAATAAACTTAATCCTAGAAAAATCAGCATGCAAAAAGACTAAAAATTAATTCGGTAAATCCTTAATTAAATGCAACACCTTCTAAACAATATTAATATTACGAGCATGATAAATAACCAAAAAAAATAAACTACTAACTACTAAATGGAATCATTGCTTAATTATTTAAATAAATTGCGATTGGGCATTTATATATTAATTAAATCATTAAAACAACTAAAATAATAATAAAACCAATAATTCAGTGGATTCGAAGAAATCTCCACTGATTATAAGAACAACTAAAATAACGGGTTAAAATCATGCACTTAAATCTACGACAGCTTATGAATACAAACATGTAAAAAGAGAGATAAATAAGTCTTCACATACATCGATTAGCTAAATATGCCGAGCACAACAATTGTTCACGAGAAAAATTGATGGTTACAGGACAGTTAGATACATGTAAAAATAAACAGTCATAATTTATACCTGCAGTTAAACATTGGGACATTAGTATCATAAATGCGCTAAAATACAATGAGACGATTAAAATAAAATATAATGTGAGGTTTCCAAATACTATAGCAAAATAATCAGAGAACGGAGTCATATTTAAACGGCAAAAATTCAATATAAAATAATCGACAGCAAGAAAATTAGATTAAAAGGTTTCAATTCGGGAACTTCCCAAAAACGCACATAAGATATTCATGTCGCAAGCAAAGAATTAAATCGGCAAATTTAAAGAGATATTGGAATAATTATCATAAAAGCAAACGGTAAAAATCAGAAAAATCCTCTCCAAAAACGCATATAAAATATTTATGTCGCAAGCAAAAGAGTTAAATCGGCAATTTACAGAAATTTGGAATAATTATCATAAAAGCGAACGGTAATTTATCGAAAAATCCTCCCCAACAATCAAGAACCGACGCAAGGCTAATAAACGTGCCACCTGCAAACGGGAACATATGGAAGCACTAAAGATTACTTTCTGTGCCGGCGCTAACTGTTCACACCCAACGTAACGAAGAAAACGCATAAATTAAACGCTACACATGTACGATTCGAATTCGAGAACACATGACGAAAAAACGGAAAGCAAGATAAATTAAGAATGACTAAAAGGTAGACTTACACAGCTGCAGCATTGAGAATTTTTCTATCTTCCTCTCGGGCTCAGCAAATTCTTCTAAGTTCGGATTTCTTCAAAATTCAGCAAAATTAATAAAAATCTCGACCAACGATTCTACAGGGCCTTCGGCCGCAACTGGAAACTCTACTAAACTGAATCTCTTTCCTGCTCGAAATTCAGCCTTATATAGCTTCGTTTTGGACAGAAATAGAACCGTGCTTTTGTGTGGTACTATATGCCCTTATATGGTCATGAAAATGTGAAGATGCGTCGACCAATCGGTAAGTCCGCTTCCTTATATGGTAAAAATATGGGAAGCTGATGAAATCTCAGTTCCGGGGATGAAGTGGGGATTATTCTAGCGAGGGCTAAGATGAGTGTGCGTGCACAGATGCACTGCTGGGTTGATGACGTAGTAAGTTTGAAGCGACGGCGTTCTTTGATGTTTTTTATGCGTCTGCGTTTCGTTTGCAGCTGTTTTGGTTTGGATACAATTTTTAGATGAGAGTAATTGCGATTGGCGATGTTTCTGGCACATTATTTTGTACAATTTATTTGCAATGTCTGGCAAGCGCAATGTTATTCGCAATTTGCGAATACGCGAGTTTTGTTCCTGCATTTGGGGATTGATAGTTGATTTTTGTTTATCTATTTGAATGGTACTATATGCCGATTAGAACATGCGTGTTAATTAATTAAGATTTGCAAATTTTCGCGTTATGTTTTGAGGGTTTGTTATTAGTCTTTTTAGTTACAATTTTCTCGTGAACGAATTTAGTGACGGCTCGTCACACCACGTACACTACGAGTTATGTGTTATTTACTTCAATTTCATTTAAATGTTCAATCTCTATGACTCTAATATTAAATTACAACCGAACAAGTGTTAAAGTTTCAACCAAGAGCAATAAACAACATTTAAATTCGCCATACACTCTTACGGAAATTCAGTCAACAAATAATTCTTACTTGGGATTAAATTTGGACATCAGATAATTTACATGATAGCAATATTCATCAACAAAATATTTACATGAGCAAAACTTAGCAAAGATTTATAAAATAAAGATCTGGTGTGAAATAAGCTTGTACAAATTAAATATCATGTTAGGTCAAAACTGTAGAACATGGAAATTTACGTTCAATTAAAATTATACAGCAAAGAAAATTACTGAAGCTAAAATTGTGAGACAAAGACAAATTGCATGAGATGAAGATTGTAAAGTTAACAGATTTACATGTGATTAATATTAATTCGTGTCCAGTCAAGTTATTGGTTAAAATTCAAACGTGAAATTATTTAGCTGCATTGTGGGCCATTATTACACATACATTTCCCCAAACAAAACACATAAACAAACATGGCAGACAATCTGCAGTTGCAAAATGGCGTTGGACGAATTCGTCATTCCAAATAATAGGCGTCGAAAATATGCGATGCAAAAATACGATGAATCCTGTGGCGTTGCATAAACGATGTGCTAAATCCAAAGAATAAAGGCACGTCCCCCCATGACCCACAATGTTTGTTAATTTGTTCAATAGATTCAGTTAAAACATGTGCTCGATTAAAAGAAACAAATGGACGCTTCAAAATGGCCGCTGCCTGAACAAAGAACGGTGAAAATAACAATTCGTTTGCCGCCATCCAAAATACAGATTTCACAAATATAGCTAAATAAAGCATGGCCCGAACTAGAAATCACTTCCTGTAAAGCCCTACTGCGATGGATTTTAAATGAAAGATAAAAAAAAACGAGATTAGTGGAAAAAAGCGCACGCGTCGAAGTGTCACGAGGTCAGAAGCATCGTCGGGGCTTGAATCTCGCCGCGAAACAGGTGTTCAAAACATACCTCTCCAAAGATGCGAAGATTTCGACACGGCTTACCGCCAACAGGAACACAAAAACCTCGTCGTAAGAACGGTGAGAAATCAGGAACACCCAATGGCTCAACGGGGCTGCCACGTTTTCCAATGGAACAGATCAACACTGGAAAAACAAAACACAACAGCAAAAGGCACAGAATAATTCACAATTAAAAATACAACCTGTTGCTCGAAGCGCTCGAAAGGAAATCGACTGTTCTCTCGAAGCGATGAAAAGGAAGTGGCCGGTTTTACCCGAGACAAAACCACCCGCTTTGCGCACGTCTGTTTCCTTGGGGTGGTTGGTTGCCAACCTCTCCTTCTTCTCACTAACCGTTTCTTGTGCGCGCGGAATTCATTTGAAATTTAAAAATTCGAATTGGATCCTTACAACAGGGTCATTATAAAATATTGTAGTCGAAGAAGGCCATGATTTTGGTGACATTTTGTGCCGCCTTTTTCAGTTTTGTGGAAAGGATTACACTAATATTGGAATTTTTATTTTTAGCGCCACATTAGTTGACATTAGCGGCTGCACTGTTTCAACGCTTCATCAAATTCTGTCAGATGTCAATAATTTTTTCGTTTGTACTGGTACGTTTTCCCTCACTTTGTGCGTTAATTGACTTGTCTTGTTTTCATTTTTGCTGTCTTCCCCTTTGTTAGAACTTTAATAAGTGTCTCAAAAAACAGTTTTTATCAAAACTACAGATCATTGTGGAATAATCTCAGGTAATGAACAGAGAGGAATAACTATGGTCAGTGTTACAAATGATTTTTTTAGTTCTTTGGCGCAATCATCATGCCTATTACCGTAATGGGGTGTTAAATGAGGATGGGGATGGAGTGTACTCTGTGGAGGCGTCTAAAAACGAGTATCTAGTGAAATGTTCTGTTGTCATTGATGAAGAATCTTTGAAGACGCTATATGGCGAATTATGGCCCGATTTAACGACACTGGTAGCATTTCTAAGTGAAAACCGACGGGAAGACCTCAAGTTAGTGAATACGTTGTTGAAGATTTAAGGATGAGAATGGAACAAAGTCCGAATAAAGCTTTGTCAAAAATCTTTACTGTTCGGAGTACCATACAGCCCATGTCAGAAAATCGTAAAAGAGAAGTTACATATGCATCCGTACAAGATTTTGTTGGTTCAGGAGCTGCAACCAGCTGATTTTCCTTGCCGCGTTGGGTAGTGTAGTTGGTTTCAAGCTGATATGGACGATAACGGGATTCTCGATTTGTCGTTCTTTTCTGATGAAGCCTGGTTTCATCTGTTAGGCTATTATGTCAACTGACAGAACTTCAGAATTTGGTGTATAGAAAATACTCACGCTTTTGAAGAAACACCATCACACGCAATGAAGGTTGATGTGTGGTTAGCAGACGACGATTCATAGGCCTGATACTTTTTCAAGTAAATGAATGTGATCAATAAACAAAATTAGATGTAGAAAGTGTATGTAGGTACTCCAATAAAGTTTTTTATTTTCAGTAACTTTCATTTTTCTTTCGGTGTTAGTTGCATTCTCTTAATTTAAAACTTACTTCAACTTACTGTTTAGTAATAATTGTAATTTTACTATTAGGAAAGTTAAAAATCTTTATTAAACATTCTGTTGTTTCAAGAGATCTCATAATCAGCTACAGAACTCTTAACACTATGCTCCTGAAATTTTATTGGTTTTTTCATCTTTTTTCTTATAGAAATTTTGAAAAATCTTGATATTAGGATGGCCATGTGGGCGTGTTTTGGGTAGAACCTCTTTGACATTCCTGTTATGCAGATCTGGCATGTTTCAGATATCTAGAAACTGCAAAGCTGAAGGTAATGTTTGGACATAGCAGTTTTCACCTATTGTAGGGATGAAGATCAAGGATTTCAGTTGTGTTTTTTCAAGAGAAAAGCACCGGTCACAAACCATGTCTGCACCAATATTTTGACGATTCCTTACAATTTACAAACAGAACTTTCGCGGGATCACAACTTTGGCAAAATTATTTACTGCAAAAACTCATTAGGTACTCATAGTGTTCGTTAACTGTGATAAGACTTGCTCTGCCATTGTCCATTACGTGATTTTTCACAATTTTTACCTTCAGGGTACCTATAAAAATGTAATTTTTTAAATAATTACCGTGTTCATTGGTTTCGACAAACTTAACCTCACTTTTTGGATTTCATTATTTGAAAAATTATTGCTTCTTTGCAAAACAGACCAGATGATTTATTCTGTTCAACACCAATCGACTTTCCAAGGTGTAATTCATGACAAAGCCCTTAAACGTTTTTCTGACAATTTACAATTTTTGAAACTGAAATGTATTGCAGTGGCGTTCACAAATGCCCGATAACACTGCAACTCTTAATGCTCTGGCCTGGCGTCTTTTCGTGTCTATTTAAAATGAAATTAAACCGCGAACCGGGCATTTCAATTTTTGACACATCTGACAGATTTGTTTGGACGTTCGTGACATTTCAAAACAGTTCAAATCATTTTGGTGATTAGCGGCACGAGAAAAATTTCATTTGTTTTTCATAGGTGAGTTGACTACAATATTTTATAATGACCCTGTATATTTACTTATCCCCTCCAAAAAATTGATGACGTCAGCCCAAAATTTTGCCAAATGAATCCTATCTAAAATGTCCAAAATAGGATGAGACTATACTTGTGATTTATCATTCCATTCATATTTTTTAGTTTTGCTTATAGGGGTGTCTCAAAAAAATTAATCACTGAGTCAATTTATTTTATTGATTGAATCAAGAATTGCAAAACTGAATTTTGAAATATTGCAGACGTTTTGAAGTTACTGTTTGACATGGTGGGTTTTCAATCAAAATATATCTGTTTATCAAGCCCAAAAACTTGAAGACGTCATCTCAAGATTTTGCCGAATAAATCCTATCTAAAATGTGGAAAATATCATCAGTATATTTTCGTAATTTATCACTGCATTCATATTTTTTAGATTTGCTTTTACAGTGACTCAAAAAAATATATGGATCAGTCAATTTATTTTAGTGAATAACTCAAGAGTTGCAAAAATGAATACTTTGAGATCTTGCAGACGTTTTAAAGTTATTGTAAGCATGGTAAATTGTTAAGAATATTTATTTATTCCCCCCAAAAAATTGATGGAATGGCTCACTCGATTTTCGCAGATAATTTTGGGAATACAATACAGTTATTTTTAGTATTACACTGCACCAATCCAAGGTGGTATATCTACGTGTTGATAGTAAATGTTGATTAGGTCATCACAAAATTGTGTGAAGAAAAGACTCAACTCGAAAATGCTGAATATGTTTCATTATACTTTTGGTGCGAAGGAAGTTCTGTCGAAACAACGTTCGATCAATTTTTTGACAATGGTTGATATAAATAAAACTCAGTAGATGCTCAGACTCGAAATACGAAGTATCTACTCGAATATCAAATCAAAATATTTCTAGTTTTTCTAGATGATACTAATACTTCAGTAAGTAACAGTTGATGCTCAAGTAGCATCTCGATACAACAAAAAAGGACAACAGTGACAGTGTTCAACCATCAAGGCAAAAATCGAGTCACCAAAATATAAGTTAGTATGGGGTAGACACCTTGAGATGGGAATCTCTATGGCCAGTGTTAGAAAAAATGCACTGCACAATTTATGAATAAATAAAAGTTAATTACATGAAAAGTTTTCGATATTCCTGCTCCTAATGTGTTTTTCAAACTGAATGCACCTTTTGACGACGTTTCACATTCATGAAAGTCACCATGTTTAGTTAAAATTCACTCTTACAACGATCCTACTGGTTTTCTAAGCTACTTTACAGACAGCTCAGTTATTTGCCACGCCGATGCTCATATCTAGATTAAATGCTCACAAAACGCGTAGATGTTCAGTTTGTGTCCGGGGAGATACAATGTTTCCCAGTAGGTACTCAGTACATAGAGTAGATGATCAGGTATATAAGAGTAATAAATAATGAAGTAGGTACTTCGTACTTCGAATATGAGTATCTACTCAGTTTTATTCATACCACCCAATGTCTCGCTTCAATGTTTGATTATGTTGATTATGAGCATAACGCTGATCAACTTCCATATCCGAATTACCCATGAAATAAATCAATGCGGTTTGCACCTGAGGTAGTTCGTCGCACATTTGATTCGTGGACCTATGTGAGGTTCTCGTCTTCTCGGCATTTTAATGAACTTCATAAAACGACACAGAATTATTTTCACAGTCAATCAAATCTGTAAATTTTGTCTTGAGAATTTTAAAATATTGAAAACTTCAAATTAAATCCTCGAATAACGGTAAAGTTTGAGGTTTTGTCAAAACCAACAAAGTGAATATAGGTAAATAGATTGGCAGATCAAAATGAATAAGAAACTTTCGCAATATGTAATTAAATTTAACCAAGACTTTTCTTAAAATAAACGACGTTTTTTTTTTACGAAAAAACAAAGAACGATTTCAAATACAATATATGTACTTTTCACAATCACACGGAAGAATTAGTTTTGTATGACACGTCAGTTAGACGACAGGTTAAAGTCACTAGATATATGGTTATCTAGGGACTTTACGACAGGTCCGTCAGAGACGCCAACTATTGACAGTAATTCGAAGTGGCGATTCCCATACAAAATGTTTAGAATTTTTTAATTTTTTACTGTTCTTTTAAGTTATCCTTATTTTTTTTATTTATAAAGCATCCCCGTAATATAAAAAATGTTTCAAATCGGTCAAGCCGTTTTTGAGTCTTAGCGTGACTAATAGGAACAGCAATTGATTTTTATTTTATAGATGATTAATAAATGGGGTTTGGCGGTAGAAAGGTGAAAATTTAGGGTTGTGTGTATTTTTTGATGTCAAATCTTAAAAAAATAAAAATAAAAAAAATTGTCAAAAAAATAGACAAAAATTTTTTAGGGTGGGCCACCCTTATCACTTAGGGGTTTAAAAAATAGTTTACAACCTATTGTCAGACCTACCGAATAGACATAAAAAATTTCATACAAATCGGTCTACCCATTTCGGAGAAGTTCGGTTACAAACATTGTGACGCGAGAATTTTATACATAATGCATTATTATTTTAGAACAAATTTCATTACCATAAAAAAGGTTATACTGACTCGACCTTAAAAGATAGACATATGCTGTCGCGGACTTTTCTTTAGAACTTTTAGAGGGGAACAATTTCGTTATACATGATTTTTACGTAACTTTAACCGTTTAAGCAGCGTAAGCAACGGAAGCTGTCAAAGGAGGAATACTTTTCCCGTTTTTCCGAATTTTTCATTGCTACTTCGCTCCTAATGATCGTAGCGTGATTTTATATAGCCTATATGTAGATATGATACATGGACTATCCAACACAAAAAGATTTTTTGAATTTGAACCAGTAGTTTCTGAGATTAGCGTGTTCAAATAAACAACAGCTTCAGCTTTATTATATAAGTATAGATTTGGAGTTTTATTGTTAATAAAATTAATGTTTTTGTAAAAGTGGGACGTTTTTAATTATTGTGCAAACTGTCTTGATTATAGAAAAAATCTTGTGTGTATTACGAGCGCAAATTCATTGCCGATTTCGAGAGATTGCAGCGCTTCTTCGTCGCGCCGCAGCTTTCTCTCTCAATCGGCAATGTATAATTTTGCGCTCTTAATACACAAATAGCTATTTTGACCTCCCGATCGGTAAAGAGCTGATTTATGAGCGTCTGATGTACCCGGTAACTACGATTTTACAGTGATTTACGGGTCCGTTAACTTGGCACCACCAAGTTAATGAATTTTACTCAAAAGCTAGCACCTCGTTGTTCTAACCTAGCACCAGCTAGCACCACCAATCAAAAAGCTAGCACCACC